CAGTAGAACAAATGCATTTTGACTAATTCCACTGAATTCCATTGTTTCCTCCATGAGAAAAAGTATTCATTATTTAGGATTATAATACCATCTAGATGTGTAATTCCCAATTTCAGCTGTGCAGTAGCAGGCACTACTCAGAGAGAGAAATGCCTCCATCTCCCAAGAGTTCAGAGAACACTGAGAGAAATCCTGCTTTGCTTGTTCTACAAGACTTGTACTATGTTTTACTTGTACTATGAAGTGCTTGGTTCTTTACATTACTATGCACAGGTGAGAGCCATTCCATAAGACTGGATTACTTCTGTGTTATTTAAAATGTCTCCATAAATCTTGGGGTGCTCTGTAAAAGTTGTTTTTTCCAGTCAGTGTTTCACACTGATGATCAGTGGCTGCAAATCTGTTTAAAAAGACTGAAACTGTCTGAACAGTGGAACGGGCAAATTTCTTCAGGTCTGTCAGGAGACTGGTGGTATTAGGGATAATTTATAGGAAAAAAGGAGCAGCATCTCTTTGAGATTTAGACTAAACAAGATATTTTGGCTTTTAATGCTTTATTCTGTTGCCATGACATAGTACTCAAATATGAGGTTTCATTATTAGGAAAAAAAAATTAAAAAGCACTTTACATTCCTCAGTTTTACTGAGAGTTTGACTTCACAGAGAGTCATGGAGTTGGGCCACAGAAGCATATTTTCTCTTACATGGGAAGTTGGCCAGCAATTAGAGGTAATAAAATAACTACTTCACGTGTGCAAGCACTAAAAAATATTTCTAGACCTGTGGTTTATTAAATTGCACCAGAATATTGTCCGCAGCAAAGAACCTCATTCTTTGGTTGAGGTGTACCACTGAAACACATCATCAGAATTTTGTTACAGCATGTTCACATTTTCTGTGAGAAAATAAGGGGAATATTGTATTTCATGGGAGAATTTTCCCTTCTTCCCACCTGCAACTGCGTTACTGAGCAGAACAAAAATAAATCAGAACAATGTGTTCATGAGCAATGGATGATGGAAAAACTCACCAGAGCAGGAATCTGGACTGAGATCACCAATGTAAAGTTCAGCAGAGCATGGATGGCAGCCTAGTATTTGTTGCTTCCCAAAGAATAAAAACCTCAACTCTCAGTTTCTTTTCACTTTGTCATCTCCTGTTCTATTTGTAGCAACTCAAGCTTTATCTAACATCCAATAACATTCTTGATTAACTAAATTTATTGTATTTGTTTGGGGTTTTTTCTGTTTATAACTTCCACCAGCCTTTTGGTAGAAATTGTGCAACGTTAAGTGGGGCTCACATGAAACTGAAGGCGTGATTTCCACCAACTTCCATGTAGCCAGATTTTTACCAAGTTGGTATAACTTTCTGTGGTAGCTTAGCAAGAGCATTAATATTTTACCCTTGTCCCTCAAAAATGCAGGTTCCCTTTCCATTAACATAATTCAGTTTAATGGATGTGGTACCAAGATCTAAAGGATCCTACCAACAAAATCTAGAGACTTTCCAGTGTGAACCTATTCCCCACATAGAAGAAACAACAAATTACCTTCAGTAAATTCAAGAATTTTGGATCATGTGCTGTGATTTTTCAATTTTTTTCGGCAAAATTATCTGTGTGGAGTTGGAATGGAGAAAGGAAAAGCAATGGATTGCTAATACCCTTGCTAACACCCTTGCTAACAATGTAGAATTACTCATGACCCCAACAGCATTGCCAGATCATAAAACCTCAGAGCAGTTTCTGTAAGGTGTAGGCTGAAGAACTTTTTCTTTCTCTTTGAGGGGCTTAGTGCAAAAGGAAGAATATGGCTCAAGGAAGCAGATGGAAAAACATTTCTGACAGCTTAAGTACAGTTAATTATTTGTAGGCGAAGCATTCTGCGATCAGCACTGATTTGCTGTTCTTGAAACTGAAACAGTCAGAGCAGCAACAATTTTATTCAGCATCACTGCAATTACCTGACTATAAATAGGAGACCTTGCCTTTCATCCCTTCCAGGAACAGGCAGCTAAAGGCCAGCACACTGTGTAGATGCCTCTTTGGGTAAGCAGCTCATCCAGGTCTCATCCTCTCCCATTTTTTTCCACCTCCTACCTTTTTCTTTTAAGCAGATTCAACAGTTACTGGAAAAAGAAAAAAAAAAGAGTACAACATGTATGGGAAGAGCTCACAAGGTAAGTATCACCTCTTTCACTTCACAGATAGTGCAGCTGAGGAAAATGAATACTCATTTAAGATTTTAAGGTGTGCTCATTACACACCTGTTCCTGAAGGGGCAAAGGGTGATGATGTGTTTTCTTGTGTCTTCTGGGATTTATCTGTACCATCAGATAAATCCCAGAATATTCTTCTCTCTGTGAGAGAAGAGAACTCCACTCCTAAACAATGACATTCAGCCTTCTGGGAAAAGAGACAGGACAAAGCAGGCTTGCAGAGGAAATCTCCAGCCTTCACTAACCAACAAGGAGGAACTGGAGACAAAAAGGATAGCATAGATTATTTTCTCCCTCAAAAGTGTGACATAGGGAAGATATGTCCTTGTGACAAAAGATTCTTTTCTATTCTTCCCTTGCTTTGGTTAAAGCATAATCACAGAATCTCCTGAGCTGGAAAGGACCCACAAGCATCATCAAGTCCAACTCCTGGCTCTGCAGACTAAATTCAATGAAAGGGAACATAATATTAATCAGTTTTTCCATCAGCTTTAAGATTTGTATCAAAGAGAAACAAAATGCTATTGAGAGCTGTGTGATTACTTTTTTGAATAAGTATTATTGGAAAGAACTGAGACTGTTAGCTTTCATTGTCCACTCACAGCAAGGACTAATTAGAGTAAGATACTCTCCAGAATACTCTGAACAGCTGTGATTATCCACTCTTAAGAAAGATTAATTTGACTGGAAAGACAACAGAGAAACCCTTTAAAGAAGACATGAAGAATAGAGTTTTCTACGGGAGGACATGAGACAGCTCACTTTTAACAGAATGGAGGGTGAAAAGGACTTCTTTGTCTATATATTGAAATCTTAAGCAGCATGAGAGAAAGTGTACTTAGGCTAATGTTGGCTCAAAACCAAGTGGAATAAATTATCTAAGAATAAATTTATTCTGGAAATAAATTAAAAAAAAAAATAAATTAAAAATTCAAGTACCAGAGCAGTGAAATCCTGGAAACACTCACTCAAAGCAGTAGTGTTCTGTTTTCCAGTGGAGTTTGGTAAGTGTATTGATGAAGTTGCCTGAAATAGAGAACCTCTTTCAAATGACCAAGCATATCCACTCCAGTCCTTCAAGTACCCTGAGGTTACATTTGGAAGACCCACATAAACAACTGCTTTTTGTGCAAAGTCAAGAATTACAGGTCAATGCCAGTCACAAAAACTCACAGAGCTTCTACTCAGCCCCGAAGGCAAATAATTGACCTCTTACCAGTCCAGCTGATCCCTGAACCTCAGGATTTGAAAATTGTGAGTTTTCAGGCAAGAAGCCATCATACTTTCACCCATCCAACCTCACAAAATTCCAAGCCTTTGAATGAAATTGACTTGAAAGCATGTATTTGGAATATAGGGAACCTGAAGTAATTTCTTTTCATCTCCTATGAAATCCTAGGAGATGCATGGAAGATTCAATCACCTGCTCAGAGCTCAGAGATGAAAGTTTTATGAGGTAGCTAGACATCTAGAAGTTATTCACTGTGACTTGTTCCTGTGAATTTAGTTCTTATACTGCTGTTAGGATGCAGAGAAGAAATTCAGTTACAATCATCAGCTTTTCATGGGTTGTGCATTAATTATTCCACTGCAGCAGAGCTTCATCAGTTAGCTCTGTAATGATGCAGTGAAGTTCCTTAGCTCAGGCTCACTCCAAGAGAACATATCTGTATTGCCAGCAGGGTCAGTATGATTTCAAAAGCAGTTCAGCCACCTCTGTGGTGGGTGCAATCCAGATCTATGAACCATCAGAGTCCAAATCAGCTTCCCAACATCCATAAGGATTTGGCAGCCTTATGTTCTAGAACTGGGTATACTACAATACTACATGGTATGAAGATAAAATGCATCCAATAAAAACTACCGAAAACTAAAGAATAAAACTACTGTAAATTAAAGAATGTCAGCCCTTGGGACAACTTCATATAAATATTGTTAGAATGATCCCAGTATAATGCTTGCAAAGGCCAGCTAGCCCCATTCCAAGCAATGCCCAGGCAGGATTTGGGAGCTGGCGTGGTCCAGGAGCAGAGTTAGCATGCAGCCACTGTGCTTTGCTGGTTAAAAGGAATTAATTTTGTTACTTTGCACAGACCAAACCAGAGTGAGTCCTGGCACTGCAGGCACACAGTAACTCCAGCTCCACAGGGAACATGCCAGACATGGGATGACTCAGCAGCCATTGTGAGACTGCATCTCTCCAGCTGAACTGCTGTGCCCAGCCCAAAACCACCTCAGAGCTTGGTACAGGATCAGTCTACTGGCTCTCAATAGCCAGACCAAAGGTGGTGATCAGTGAGCTCATGCTAAGAGGACCAGCTGTGAACAAGCCAGGGGACAGATGGGCCTCTCCACACTGTTCTCTGCCAATCTCTGGCAGAAACCCACCTTTCCAGCTCATTCCCAATGCAAGAGCTAAGCAGTGTCTGCGAAGGCTCTGGTGTTAGTCTGGAGTTTACAGCCTTGCTACTACCCACAGCACCAGTGACTTTGAGGGAATGAGTCTGGCTTCACCTGGATCAGCAATGAAATATATTTAGCAGCAGTTCTGGACACTTGATGCCTTTGACCTGTCAAACAGATGGACCTAAAATGCAAATAGATTGCAAGTATTTATATAGATATGTATTTGTATGTATATATATATATGTATAAAGATATACAGCCCATATAAATGAATTCGAATAAGAATTCTATGACAAAATTTTAAAACTTTTAAATTATAAAAAACTGAACATCTTTCAATAGGAACCTCATACAAGACAAAGACATTTTGTGTATTTGTTCCAGCTTAAATTTTACAGCAGAAGTAAAACTGCAAAACAGAATTACAGACCACAATTAGCTGGTCCAGTATTCACTATCCAGCATTGTGAAGAATATAATAGCTATGTTCTACAATCCTCTTTAAATATATGCAGCTTTTACCTGGTTTGGTTTTTTTTTCTGTCAGAGGAACACTATTCTGATAAGTGCTTGGCCTGATTAGGTTAAACCCAATGTATTTCTACATCTCACTGTATGGTGGTGGTGCATCACAAATGAAGTACAGAAATATACTGGATGTTCACCTGCAGGAATAGCATATAGTTAGAATACAGAACACTGAAACTGCAAATTCTTTTGCTATTGTTGTTTTGGTTGCAAAAAAAACCCAACGAACCAAAACCACTGAAGCAGTTCCATGAGATTCGACATCCCTGTTTGACAAGTGTCACCAGAATAGCCCTGCAGGACAGTCACACATCTCATCCAAAGTCCACTCACTGCTTGTTTTCAGAATGTTGTACAGCTCTTCTTTCTGTGTAAGATCATCTTGTCCTGTGCTTCCTCAGTCCAGAATAGTCCTTAAGAAAAGAAAAGTTGCTTCCTGGAAGACAGCAGGGACTTCAGGCATTAGAGTTTTAATGAATCCACTAAACCAAGCAGTGTTATCCCTGGAAAGGTGAATAGTCGTATAATTTGGCCCACGTTGTAGCAATTTTTCCTGTTTGCTTGGGTTTTGAAAATCATTTGCTGCAATACATTGAGAAACAGGAGACAAACAGAATTAACTCAGCCATTCTCCCATGGTATTCTGCTTCTCTTTGCTGGATGTCTCTTTCATGTACTGTATTTACTGCTTGGGTTCAAAGTTTTCCTCTTTGCTTTTTTTAATCATGCATCCCTTGGTTCACTCGTCCTTGCACCTCCAGCCTTTGTTGTTTTCAGTCCTTAGTGATGATCTTTCAGTTAAGAGCTCACCAGAGTGTAGATCATGCTGAATGTAAAAGAAACACACAATATGAAAGTATCCCTTTGAAGCGTGCAGAGCACTTTGATTTTTATAACCCTTTGCAGTCTGTTCCTCAGGTCTGACTGTAATGACCTGTGCTTTCCTTTGCATTCCTTCTATCTCTCTAAAGCATCTTAATTACGGTGTATTCAAGATGGGTATCAAAAGGCACTCAAGAAATAACAAATTCATTATCGACATCCTACTGCACCACAAGCTGTGTTTGAGCTTTTTAAAGCTCAGTCTGATGTCTGGATTTGAACAGCAAAGAAACAAAACCATTTTGCTTTAGTGTGTTTGATCTTTAAAACTTCAACCAGCAACTCTCGGCAGGGCAGGCAAGGTTTTCCATAAAACTGCATTGTTTTGATTCCTTTGGAAAAAAACTTTGTGCACTAGAAGAAACATAAAATGCAGCCACCAGCTGGACTGAATCCATACATACTAAATGCAACTCTGAAAAGCAGAGAAAAACAGTATATATTGCCACAGCTCCATTTTGTTGCAATTCTGATTCTGCCAATACCCAGGAAAGCATTGAAAAAATGTCTGTAATTTATACTATTTTATCTAGCACCAGGCAGTGGATTTTGGATGGTGGCCATGTTTTAGATTGAAGGGCTCAGAGGAATCTGCACAGCAGTAAAGTCTCAGGAGAAATGCTACACCACACTCCTGAGCTGACTTTGATCCCAACACAAAAACTGGAGTTAAAAAATGCTTTTTTCCCACAAACCTCAATAGCATTTAAAAGGAATATTGAGAAACAACAATGTGCAGCAGTGACTCCTCAAGAGAGGTGAACAGCAGAACAGGTCAGACACCAGTTATCAGAGGAGAAAAACACACTTTTCTTCCACCAGCACACAAACCTGCCTTGCAGAGGGATGACTACATGCGAGACTGGCTTGAAGAGGCAACTCTATGCAAATACATCATGGAGGAAGGAGTAGAAGAAAGAGAGCTAAAGCATCACCTCCATTTAAAGTGTGTTAGAGGTTGTTGTCCAGTAGTTTTTATGGTGTGATTTTTATGGTGTGATTAAGGCCTTACCTTAAATGATCCTCACGTATTTTTGCACTGGGCATTTGTGCCTGAGCACTGAGGACATGTGACAGCTGAAAGGGGCAGGGGGACAATGCCCAATTGGTGTGCATATCTCCATGTATGTACTTTAATTAAGGGTTTGGATCATGCACAGGATTTGTCCTGCCATGAAAGGGAGCCTGTCGGAATGACTAGGGGCATGGTGCATCCCATGTTCCCACCCAACACCTACCTACCCATTTATTTACCATCTTGAGTATTACTATACCAAAGGTATAGTATTTTTCTTATGATCCTCTTGAATCATAAGGAATTAAAGCTTTGTATTTGATGTAATGCCATTAGCACAACATTCACTATTTTACCATCCTAAAAGATCAGAGAAGCAAAAGTTTTTTCCTTTGGTTGGTGCTGGGGCCTGCCTCAGGCCTTAGGTAAACACTAAATATTCTGTACTGAAGTGCCAGCAGTCAGTGGGAGTGCTTCCCCGAATCAACAGGAGAAGCAACCTTTTATGAGACTAAGGAAACTGTCCAACTGTTTCCAGCCATTCCTAAATGTAATTCCACAAGTGAAATGAAAAGCAGCTACTGTTCTCTTAGTGAAATGGCCAGACTTACCAGTAGAGATAGTAGAAGAAGGAAAGGAGGTAGAAGGCCAGCTTACACCAGGCCTCTTTCTGGCAGTAACTCAAGGTATCTGCGTTCATCACTGCAGGTGGATCATAGGCCAGCTCTGAGCTATCTGCTGGGCAACGAAAATACCTGAAAGAGACAGAGAAGACACCTGGAATGACTCTGTAGTAATCTGTATTCACTATGTGCAGATACACACCTGACTACCATCTTCCACGATACAGCAGGAATTCCCCTTTCTTTCCCAAGTCTCTATTTCCAGACATTGTAAAAATCAGGATGCCAGTCTAAGCATTCCTTTCTTACAGAACCAAGCAATTAATGAATGTGGATTTTCTGTGTTCTATTAATTCTTCAGTTCAAAACATTTGAACTTCCTACAGAGTTATTTCTGGCTTATCCACTCATAACTTATGCATTGTGAGTGACAATATAGGGTGGTTTGTGATCACAGAGAAGAGGAAGGATTACAGGGCTTTTATTGCACCTACACAACTGATTTCAGACATGATGAAAGGTGACAGTCCCAACCAACTGGTAGCTAAGTTCCTCCAACTCTGAGAAGGAAAAAAGCCAATATGGAGTAATATAAGTGGCTGACCAATATTTTCTACATGTGGCACTGCTTAAGAATTTATCATCCAAATATTTTTCTTAAAAATTTTTCTTAAATATTTCTTAAATATTTTTCTTACAAAATAAGACAAATTTCTAGCTATTATCAGCAATGGCTGAGTGTTTGAGAAAATTGTGACAGAAGAACTTCTTTGGCAAAGGAGCTTTTGTCTCAGTCAGTTTGCAGTAAAAAGCAAAAGCAAACCCAAAAAGTCCTCAACAAAGTTAATTAACTGCTCTAAGATCAGCACAAATCACAGGAAATATTGCTATTTCTGCTGCTTTGACAAAGTAAGCAGAAGATTGTTGATTGCTTACAGATGGATATACAGATAGACAGGAAGATTTAAAAACACCAAGCAAGTGACCAGCAGCAAACTTTGAAAGGAGAGGTTCTCAAAATTACTTTGTCTTTTTCCCTTCCAATGTTAGTCACATCCACTTACAACCTCTAATAAGATTGCAAGTTCTTTTATGGAGAACCACAGGTGGAATCTTGCTTAATTCTCTTCATTTGGATGAAGATATTACAGTGTCTTCCCATGGTTCTGTGCAGAACTTTACACAACGAACTCAAACCTGCCTGTGGTTAAAGCAGGAATAATTATGGAGTATTTCTAGCAAAGCATATGAAGAATCACAGGAAAAAAAAAAGAACCCAAAGTTTTCTCCAAAGGTTGACATCATTACTCGGAATCTCAATATTTTCCTCTTGGGAAAAAAAAATAAATTGTTTTTAGAATTTTTTTTAATGGGTGTCATTGTCACACTAAGGGCTGTTAACCCTTAGCAAAAGAGCAGCATAAAACATTATCATTTTTATTGCAGCAGAACAATAGGGAGAAAACCACTTGTAGCTTCATTACATTTAGCTTTCTAAGAGCTATACTGGCACTCTAATTCCTGAATAATACACTTTATCTTATGATTGCATTACGACCGAGCTTTTGCAGAAAAAAAAAGTAAAAAAGCTACTGCTTTTTAATTCCTGATTGAGATGATGATTTTGACTTCTTTACAGATTTATTCTTCTGCTACCATATGTACCTTTGTAACACAAAGAGACCCTGACAGACAAAAATCATCTGTGCTTTTACAAACATTGTGAAAATGCGAAACTAGCGAAGTCTACAGACTGACAACCACAAAAACTGATGTCTTTTGGTTATTTTCAGAAGCAACAGAAGGCTGATCCTCCACTAGAATGCAGAGGGAGATGCAGCAGCAGCAGCTGCACTGCCTGTCTGGAAAACAACAGCAAGTCTTACATGGTCAACTCTGGAAGCCCCTTGGTGAATATAAACACAATTCAGAGATCCAGAGTGGGAACACTCCCCATCCTTCATATGGGGAGTGTAAAGAAACAGCTCTTCACTTACTCCAATCCCTACTCCACAATTCTCTAAAAGAGGATTCTCTTGCAGAACAGAAAATCCCTACTGTACAGAAAGAAACAACTTTACACTGAAAAAAATCCAAACAACCAAAAAGCTGCCAAAGAAGATGAGACACAAAAATCTGTCAAGCTTCCCAGTCTATTTCACAACTACAATGGAAAGGTTTCCTTGCTAGGGCTGAATGAAGAGGTCCAAGCTCTTTCAGATGTGAACTGTCTTGCAACTCCCCATCTGTGAAGTATTTAGAGCCTCACCAAGTTCCACATTCAGATTCCAGCCTATTTCACTTCCATGTTTTCACTTGTGATGAGTGCATCCTGACACCCTTCAGAATATTCATCCAAGTAACTGAGAGCTACATTGCACTATCATATGTTTTCCTTAGCCATTCTAAATCATGAGAAAATTTCCTTTTTCTCTGGAAATACAAGTTTCAGCAGCTTATAGGCAAGAGCCTCTAGGCAAGTGAAGCTCATCTACACTCCTATCACTGTCCTTCATTGTTCACACAACCTGCATGTGTGCTGAGCTGACAAGCAAGGCTAACAAGCAGTCAGCATATAAAAGAAGGGCTTACCTCCAGAAGTGATAAAAAAGCAAAGGAACATTTAACCCCAGTGTGAGCCACTCCTGAGCACATAAAAACATTATGCAGAAAAGACTGTGGATGGAGTACTCCGGCAGCACCAGCTAAAAGGAAAGGAACAGAAAGAAGTCAGTAAAACAAACATCTCTTTGATTTTAGTCACCTAGGTAGTTTTTCAGAGAACAAATCAGCTCTGCAAGTCTTGCAAGTCTCCTGTGTTTCTGTCCCTAGACACAGCTCAGCTGGCAGACAGTGTGGCTTTGAGCAAGAAGCACAGGACCTAGGGCCAGGTTTGTTAAGGTTCTACCCAAGTTTGTACTCCAAGAGCTTGTTGAGAGACATGGGATAAATCACTTACTGTCCTATCTGGTGTTCCAGATCTATGTCTACAAAACATACATTACATTAATGCCTCCCTCACCAAAGCATTTCGAGACTAAATGAATACCAGTAAAAGAGTTTGCAAAGAACGAAGTTTTATTACTGAAGCATTCAGAAAGGAAACAAAGCTATTCCTGAAGTTTTGCTTCTGCATTGGAGGAGTGTCTTTGGAAAAACAAAGTGCTGCTTATACCATTTTGATATGTTATATACACCATAAAGAGATCAAATCCATTACCAAGTCAGTCTTGCAAGCACAAACCCACTAAGACAGGAAATTCACTTCCTAAGAAAACCCATGGCTCCCTACACTCGTTGTTTTAGAACCATGATGATTCTTTCTATTAAAAGAGAAAATGAGTGGGCAGCTGGCAGTAGCAGAAATGTATGTGATGTTGATTCAGAGTAGTTATTTCAAAAGGCACTTTGCTTTCTTCACTGCTTTCCCATTTCTTAGCTGTCTTTCTTCTCTTGTTTTCTTCCCAGATCTTTTCTCAGAAATCCCTGTTTCTTTCTTCAAGTCAGAGAAAAGACTAATTTCCAGCAGTGCATATTTCTCAAAGCTAGACAAACTCAGACACAACTCATCTGCATCCACTGCTTCACCTTAGAGATACATTGACCAAAATTAAATCACAAAAGGCATTTGGGGGCTTTTTTTGATGACAATTCATTATTATCTGTCAAATAATTAAAGTGACCCCTATTGTTTTTTAAACAAGGTAAACTTTACTATACAGCTTCTCCAAATACCTACTCCCATACAGCTGTGCTGCAAGGAATTCCATAATCTTGTCTCTAGGAGTCTTTCCACCTCACATGGAACATACTGTTTTAATGCATTTCACTCCAGTACTTGAAGAAGTTAACAAATTTGGGTATCTCCGTGACTGTGCCTTCAACTTAAACATTCTCAAGGGCTTATTTTATGTGGATGAGAAAACATAATACAATTATATACTTCAGATTCCAGATGGTACTTATTTATCACTGCTGGATCTTTTTTTTTTTTTCAGTTTGAGAATGTGATTTACAACATGACTATAACCTTTCTCCAAAGAATGATTCATCTTCATAACAAATTGTAGACAAGAAAGGTCTTCATGATGTACGTCTGCCCACTGAACATCACAACACTCAAAAGTGTATTACATTCATTTTCACATATTTGATTTCTGGAACCAACACAATACACAAACTTAGTGAGACTGCAACCCTGGTGCCTGATCAGTGGGCTGGCAGGTAATAACAGGGAAGGAAACCCACGGTGAATACTTATGCAGAGCTTGAAAAACAAACCACAATCTGCAGTGAAATTAGAAAGGAAACAAAGAGGACTCTCAGAAGTAGGTTCACTTTCCAGTCACAGTTTCTGGTGTAAATTAAATCTATCCATATTTTTGGTAGAACAGCAAATGGGTAATTTATGTCTCTTCAACCTTTTCTGGGAGTGGCATTTTCCTGTAGACACAAATAAGAAAGGATCATTGCTAATCACTGTTTGTGGAGGGAATTCATGCAAAGAAGCAAACAAAACCCAGCCTGCAAAGCCAGTTACATTCAGCTTATGTACTTCAGACACCAAATCTAAAAGGAGGTGAGAGACTTGGAAGCATAAAGTATAGAAAGACACTAACCAACAGCAAGGCTTATGAGGTCAAGTAAGTAACTAAAATAAAACACTGCCTCAGTTCTTGGCTGTAAGAATCTTCCTGCAATTTGACACTATATCCTCTGAAAACAATGAAAACTTGAAATAAACTTTAGCAAACGTGGGATTCAGCTGCTGGAGAGAAGAAGGCTGGCTGAGAAACAAGCAGCAGTCAATCCTTGTTGTTCCTGCTGAGGTACTCAACTGAAAAGCAACTTCAGGGATACAGATAACTGCAACAGGAACTAAACCAACGTCTTTAATTCATTTCTGTGAGAGCATAGGAAGCTGTCAGATGGTAAACATGTTAGGATATAAATAGTACACTTCTATTTTGAACCAGGAACATCCTGATTCAAATAACGACCTCTGCTTTCTGACACAGCTCAAGATAAAGCTTGTGATGATTATGAAACATGGAGAAGAAGGAGAAACTGGCATAGCAGCACAACTTTTAAGGGAGGCAAGTTGGTCACTTTGAGTCCCAAGCTCAAATGACACTACAAATTTACCACCAGAAATTCAGCTGGCTGATATTTCCCTGTGGAAAACCACAAGAAAGCCTGAAAAGGAAGTCAGCTTCTAGACAAAAAAAAAAAAAAAAAAAAAGCTGCTAATCAGAAATGCCTTTTGCTGCAACATAAGCAAGGGAAAAAGAAACCACTGTAACTTTGTTAGTTTTGTTCTGATATAACTGTACAGTTAAGTAAATGTCCACATCAGTAAACCCTTATTCCCACTTTATCACTGACATTTAAAATGTAAAACCTTACGTGGGTATCATGCTCATTGTCATCTTACCACAAAGATTCATTCTCATACAAAGCAGTACACACACACTGCACATGTAGATTGATCCTTCTCTAATTCCACAGAAAATAAAGCAGGCTTTGCTATGGATAGACACCTAGGTTTGGCTGAGCTAAAGAGCAGGAAAACAAGCACTGAATTTAAGCACCTATCAGCAGCTTCTTTCTGTTTATAGGAATACAAAGACCTCTTTAGAGAAGCTCAGTCCCAAATAAAGTTATTCTGTTTCACATTTTCTAAATCTGTTCTGTTGTTCTTATACAAAAGATAAACCTGTCTTTTTCTGTCTGTATCTTTTCTCCTTATTCTGTTTATTACAGATGGATACCTCCTCAAATGTAATTTTGATTTTACAGGACACTGTATCATTTTTACATGGAATGACTCTTACATTTTGTCTCACCAGTGAACAGGGCCCAGAAAATACCTCACAGAAAACAGAACTGGGAAGACATTATAGCAGGAATAATAATATCCCTTCATCATTGCTATTAAATACTCACAGTTAGAAAATCAATTGCAATAACTGAATCAGTTTTCCCCACTCTTAAGCCACTGAAATGTCAAGAAGCCACTGAAATGTCAAGATGCTTCTTTCCAGCACTTTGCTTGGACCAATGCTCCTGAGTGCTACACACTAATATTAATAATTCTCACAGAATTGCTGTTCCTTCCTCAAAACACCCAAGAGTCTACATCAGTCTCCATCTGTGCCTGTCAACCTCCACACTGCAACCACAGATTTTACACTGCACTAGAAATTGCCAGCCATTACACACTCTACCCTACCAGAGCTTCTGAGAGTCTTCATTACACTATTAGAGGCTAAAACAACTTCCCTTCTTAATGCCTGCTTTCTCCTCCTACAGATGGCAGGAAAATCCTACAGAGAAGTGGGGGTTGAATCTCCTTCTGGTGATTAGCCCAGTTCAAACAAGTTGTTCAGCTTAAAAACACACAAGCACCTTCCCATCCACCTGAAAGCAACAGAAAACTGAAAGCATCATGGATGTGTGGAATCACTGCCAGGCTCCAGATGAGGTCTGACCTAAGTGCACACTGCTTTATTGCAGTGGTTATTGCTACTGCATCTGCTTGCACTAGAGGATGGCTGCAGCTTGTCACTGTGGGGCTCATTTGCTGCTTTTTCCACCACATCCCTCAAAAAAGCTGACAGAATCGGTCCTCATCAGTAGCAGGGAAAGAGGGGGTGGAGGTGTACCCAAGGTTTTCAGGACACAGGAGTTATTTCAATAGCACTTTAAAGCTCATCCCTACAGAGCCTGCCAGAGCTAACCTGGGTTACTGGGGAGTGTCAGCTGAGTTAAAGACACTGTGAGATCAAAGGGAGATTATTTAATGACTCCGAAATTCCCCTAACTGAAAAACATAGACTGGAAAAATCAGAAGTGTAGTGCAAGAAAGGGAAAAAAAGAAAGCAAAACCACACAAAAAATAGCAGTAGCATGTGCCTTAGCCCAGACTGTGTATGTGGAATGTACATACTCTGAAACAAATCATCTGTTTCCTCCTGCTGTTGCACAAACCAAAGAAGAAGGGTCAACTATGTGTAATTTAAATACACAGACCATACATCTTAATAATTCCAACAGTTTTAAACATACTGTTTGCTCTGATCAAACAGACAAAAAACTAAATTTTACTCTTAAAATACAAGAAGTCTTCCCACTTTTCTAATCTACTTTAAATTATTTGAGTTACTTGACTTCCAAAACGTCTTCTGAAAGGCTGCCCTAGAGCCCAATACAGTGCTGCCACAGAAAATATACTAAGGTTTTCTGTCCAAATATTCAGGTCCAATTTATTTCAATTCTCCTGTTAAAATCCACACTTGCTTGTGTTTCTATAGATTGTTCCTTAGTTGCTAATTCAGTAGCATCAAATTGTTATAACACAAACATGGAACAAAACCATTTTAAGTAATTCAAAACCATGTTATGCAAACCTCTAGAAGTATTTAGCAGTTTGGCAGGTAGATTTGTGCATGTAGTTCAGAAGAAAATGCTTGGGAGATGGATTCCAGATCATCAAAAGGACGATGTGCAGTTGAACCTACTAAATTCATATATGCAGCTGTACATTTTACCTGGGGGAGAGCAGCAGCACACACATGTAAGACTTAATGTCACAAACAAAATGCAGAGGACAAATTTTAAAAAAAAGGGATATAATATCTGTGTTTTCACCCCTCCACTCACTGCTCAGGATCACAATGAAACAAAGTAGCAAAAAGCCAGTGCT